AAGAAAGGGATGTAGTTTGCCTTTTTACACCTGTTGTTGCTGAAGGCATGTTCCTGGTGTTTTTGTTTCTGAAACAGCTCTTTTGTGCAGAACTGCTCTTGCAGAAAAAATCTGTATTTAAAAAAAAAGGAGACAGGGAAGGAAAAGGGGAGGAAAGGAAGCGGGTCTTTCATGCAAGCAACTCCAAATCCTTGCTTGGCATGGAGCAACACGCATATTGTTATTTAAAAAACACACACACCTTTTTGTGCAAATCTGGTGTATTAAAAACTTGTGTTTCAAAAATAATAATCTTTTTTTATAAAAAAAGAAAAAAGAAAAGAGGGAATATGCACAGGTAAACAAATACTTTTATGCATGCCCACAATGGCTCTCACATATTCTGGCTTGGAATCACTATTATTATTATTATTATTATTATTATTATTATTATTATTATTATTGCATTTTGTGCAAATCTGGTAGATGAAAAAACTTGTATTTCAATAATAAATAAAGAAATAAGTGAAAATGTGTCTGTGCACAGGTAAATGGAATACTTACATGTATTTCATCCACAAGGAACCAGAACTTATGCTGGGCAGGGAAGTATTAACTGAGGACAGGGCTTAACCGCCCCACATAATTGATCACAAGACGCAGCGCACCCTTTGAATGGCAATGCCTATCAACTGGGGGGGGGCAAGGCACTCAAATATTTTATTGGGGGGGTCTGAAGGGACCTTGGCCCCTAGGAGTTGGCTCCTAGGTCGCCCACTAGTGTTGATGGGGGGAAATTAAGGTAGAATTCAAAGGCATAAACATTGAAAGTGTTCATACCATGTGTGGACAAAGGTGCACAAATGCACACATGAAAATAGCAGCCACTTTAATGCATTTGTGTAGACACTGCCTCTTTCCCCACATCCTCATTTTCTTGACAGCAGTTTAGGTTTTCAGATGAGAAGTGGTCATTTTCTTGTGTTTCTGAGAAGCTAAAATACCTACCGTGATTCGTCACTTCCACTTCCCTGCTTTCTGTCTCTCTCACACTTTTAGTAGTAGTAGCTATCTATAAATATTCTAGGGCTGTTGGAATCATTGCAGTCAGTAACTGTTTAATATTATTACCAAAACTGTAATGGACTTTGAACTTGAAGCACTGTAAGGAGATCAATACTAATGAAGATAATAAAAAGGAATCTTCTATAGTTTCAATATAAACAGAGTTTCAAAACAATTTATTACCAAGTGAAAGAGAAGAGGAGGGAGTTGAGAGATAGTAGAATCAGTCAGGTAACCTCCTACACCTGATTAGATTGGCTTGATAAAAAGATGGGAGAGTCTCTTTGGGTCATACAAGAGAGTGAATGAGCAATGGGTGTCAGCCTGGCATGTCCTCATTTGCCATCCTGCTGATCTAAAATGTAAAGGAATGTGGTCAAAATGTGTCACAGTGAGCCCCAGATTAGTGGGCCTGAATAGTTGGCCCACTTCTGGGGAAAGCTAAGCAAGTCTATGCCTCAGTTTCCCCTCTCACCTTTTGCAAGCCTGGTTTCACAGTGTAGATATTGGGCAGAAACTTTTATGCATAAAAGAGGCAGTGCCTAAGCATTTTTACTGGACCAATTTCTATTGAGAAAATAATTTGGCAAGATCAAGAAGAGATACAGCAAAGCTGGGTCTGTCCTGAAAGCATATATACTGTAGGCCTGGGAATTGCTTTCAGTGTAGTCTCAATATTTAATAGTTTTTAATTGGCTTATTAATCTGGCATCAAAACTGATGAAGCGGATATCATTTTTAAAAATCCAGAACCCACTTCTTAAAGCAAAATTTAGGCAAAGGATTTGTGATTGCTGTAAAAGGGAGAAGGAAATTGGAAATGATGCCACAGGGAAACATCTGACTCACTCTTTCACTGGAGAGAAGCTCTGTTGAAAGTCTTCAAGAACTTGTAACTCAGTGGCAAAGTATCTGCTTTGCATGCAGAAGGTCCCAGGTTCAAATCCTGGCATCTCCAGGTAGGGCTGCCTGGAAGAGATCCCCCTCTGAAAACCTGGAGAACCACTATCAGGAGACAAGATTGTGTTAGCTGGACAGACCGGTGGTCTGGCTTAGTGAAAAGGAGCTTCCTATGTTCACCGCACCAGGCCTTGTTTAGACTTTGTGGAAGAGATGGGAGGTGAGAGATTATAATTTGTTCAATCTGTTCTCTCTCTCTCTCTCTCTCTCTCTCTCTCTCTCTCTCTCTCTCTCTCTCAAAACAAACAAAAAACACACACAAAAACAAAAAACCCCAAACCATTCTCCTTTAACGTTTCTTCCTTTTCTTCCTCCATCTTTTCTTCTTTGCCCCTTTCTCTCCTTCTTTGTGTCTTCACCATTCTTTTCTATTGTTGCCTACAATCATTAAGATCAGGCCCACTATCTGTTTGAATTCTCAGTAAATTCTCATGACTCTTTGAACAGGGATGTGCTGTGCTACTCTTTAGACTCATTGTGCCATGAACTTTCACAATACCTCAAGTAACTGATGAAGCCAGCAAATGGTTTATGAAACTGTGATTATGCCACACTAGGGACCTTAAAAGAACCCTCCTGCCTAGTCAACAGTAATAGCTCAGTACAGGCATATCTTTCACTTTCATCATGTAAAATTATTTAAAGGGGGTGTATAAATACTTTGGGAAACTTTCCAAGTGTCATCCAGGACATTGCCCTAATGACCCGAGCTCATCTACATTCCGTCCAGTCATAAGTGACATCAGTCTCATTCTAAAGCCAGACTAATGTGTGCTAGGCGATACCTCCATTTGCATGGGGCGCTTTCAGACAGAAGCATTATGGGAGCTTTACATTGCAAATGCGTTGTTTAAATTTTCTATGCACACACTTGGCACGTGAGAGAACAACTCACTGTTTTTTAGTTTCAGGTTTCTTTATAGGTATTCTGCTCTTTCCTATCCATATTATGGACTCTTAACTTGGAAGTCCTAAACAACTTTCTGGAACTTCTGATTAAATCCCATTGAATTGTTGTTGTTGTTGTTGTTGTTGTTGTTGTTGTTGTTGTTGTTGTTGTTAAGATCAGGGTATTAATATGGATTCAACTTTGTATCCTGCCCCCTCCCCATTACCTAAATGGGAGAGGAATATGCACTGGGTGTAAATACTTCATATTTATTCATAGATGCCAACAGGCTATGAGACCTTTCCCCAACTCTCCTCTAGTTCAGAGGATTCTGTCCTGAATCTTCCAACATTCAACTTCTTTGGGTGTCCCTGAGTATAGAAAGGCTTATACTTTAATCCTTGCTGAACCCATAGGTTCAGGGAGATTAATTAAATTCTAACACTTACTGGGTCCAGAAATTTAGAAGTGTCTATCACCCACAAACTCATAACAATAGTTATTAGAACTTATTGTTGGCATTCTTACTTTTTTTAAAGCAAGGTGTTGTTCAGATTTCTTTTTGGCATCCTGTACTGTCCGCTGGCACTTTTTTTTGGGGGGGGGGCAAGTTCGTGTTCCTTTCTGTTATCTTCACCTGGACAAGATTTCATTTTTTGTAAAGGAAACCTTTATGTGAAGGAGATGCGTACCATCTCCACTGAAGACAAAAAGCCTTTTCTGATATGACCAAGCTGACAAGAGTAGTTTCCCAATGTTCATTTACAGAAGCTTGGCAGATTAAGAAAACGATTATTGTGCTCATACATATTACTATGCTATTAGTAAGTCACATTTATCAGATGGTTGCATCAGGGTAGCCATTATTTCCTCCATGTGTACTTCACTGTGATTGCAGGTTTGAGGGCTGGGTTGCGAATGAGGGAGTGTCTTACTACAAAACCTGGGGGGACTGATGATTCTCTTCAAGACCAACCAGGGCTTATTTTATTCTACAGAACTGTCACCCCAAATATGCTTTCATGGAGGCCAAAGCTGACATTGAAAAGACTTTTGGGGTTTGAGCTTGGGGGGGGGATGAGCCCTGTTTGATCTTGAAGAGGATTCTCACTCCCCAGGTACTGTACTAAGCCACCCTCTCATTCCCAGCACAGCCCTCTAACCTGCAGTTGAAGCATTACCGGGAAGTATGCTGTGGCATTCTTGTGTACGATTTTCTCAACCCAATCTGCAATGTGGAGATAAAATCAGCAGATAGCATTGCAAGGTTGTTGTGCTCTCTCATCTGGAGCTCATTTGAACAAGTGCGATGTGGCCTGAAGCAGAAGCAGAGAGAGCCAGTGTGGTGTAGTGGTTAGAGCAGAGGTAGGCAACAGGGTGCCCTCCAGTTGTTGTGGAACTACATCTCCCATCATCCCCAGCCAGGATGGCCATGTTAAGGCAATTATGGAGTTTATTTTATTTATTTAGTAATTAAATTTTTATACTGCCCTTCATCTGAGGATCACAAGGCAGTTTACAGTTTAAAAACACAAAAAATAGCATAACAACAAACAAAAACAACACTCCACTGCCCGTTCAGAGTTTAAAAGGCCTAATAATAATAATAATAATAATAATAATAATAATAATAATAATTTATTACTTATACCCTGCCCACTCTGGGCGGCTCCCAATAGAATATTAAAACCACAATAAATACATCAAACATTAAAAACTTCCCTAAACATGGCTGCCTTCAGAAGTTTTCTAAAAGTCATGTAGTTGTTTATTTCCTTGACATCTGATGGGAGGGTGTTTTTAATTAGCCAAAGGCTTGGGAACTGTAGTCCAACAACATCTGGAGGGCATCATATTGGTTTCCCCAGGATGTAAGACTAAGGCCAGGAAGACCTGAGTTCAAATCCTCATTGGACTAGGAAGCTTGCTGGGCGTCGATGGGCCAGGCACAGACTCTCATCCTGACTCTCACAGGGTTGTTCTGAGGATAAAGTGGGGGCAGGAAGAACCACACATGATCCCTTGAGCAACTTGGGGGGAAAGGCAGGGTGCAAATCTTATAAATCAAGAGTACTGAAAAATGATACGGTCTGCATCTTTCTCCCAGGCGACAAACTGCAGAGGAGCGGGAAGCGGAGAGGCAGCAAGCCAATCGCATCCTCATGCAGCTCCAGCAAGAGGCCTTTCAGAAAACCATCAACCAGCCCCTCCAAGCAGACCCCATCTGTGTTCACAACTCCTCTCTCTTTGCCCTCCAGAACCTCCAGCCATGGTCAGATGACTCCTCGAAGATTACCAGCGTAACTTCTGTAGCCTCGGCCTGTGAGTGAAGCCTTGACTTTGCCTGTGCATGGACTGTGGCGTCCCAAAATGGCTGCCCTTACCCAATGCCATTGGGAGAAGATCTATGACCCAGAAAAGAGAGTGGCGAACCAGCAACCAGATCGTGCCCTATGCAAGCAAATACTCTTTTAGTGGGCAAAACGTTGGCAGTATTTCAATAAAGGGCATCACTTTTGCTACTTCTTTGAGATTGCGAGGCCCGATTATGAAAATTCATGAAGGGTCATTTAAAGACTTTTCTGGGGAGAAAAGAACCTTACTGTTGTTCTTTTTTAAAAAAAATATTTCCAAGAGAAACCACTCATATAATTCAGTTTTACTGGCAATATAGGGTTTGTTCTCCCATTTAAACGTTTTAGACTGATCACTTGTAAGCGAAATAATGACACCAGTTTGAATTGGAAATGTTTTTGAACAGCCTCTGCATCTTCAGCTAGGGTTTGTTTTTGTTTTGCCTCTAAGGACAGTAAGATCCTGCAGATGAACAAGAACCTCCCTCTTTTCTTTTTCTTTTTAATTTTCAGAGATGAATTCTTTGGGCTTCTCTCCTTTTCCTTATTTTCTCCCTGCTGAAGGAATGAAACCAGAATTATTGTTGAATGTAAACATTACATTGCAACCCATTGTGTGAAGGTTGTGATCAGTTTTCCTGGCTACCACAGACTCTGCATTGATCAACTTATAGTTTAATAACTCTGAGGCATCTGTGGCATTTTTGCAGGGCTAATGCAGTTTTACTTGATGGATTATTTTGGTATCGTTTATGATGTTGTTCAATATTTTATTTACTTTTGGGTTGAGAAGTCTGCTTTGCCATGAGTGGAAAAGCCCTCTTTTCCCATTTCCTGACCAGCATTTTCACAATTTTCTTTTCATCACGTTGAGGAAAAGCTTCTGATTAATTTAAGCACTTCTTATAGCAAACTCCAAGAATATAGAAAAGATATCTACAGCATATAGTTTTCACTTACTTTAAACTAACCATCACTGCCATTTTAAATCGGATGATACACAGAGCCAGGCAATTTATCAGAAAAGAATATTTTCAGTGAGGTTTTGAAATGCATTCATCAGTTCCCTTTTTTATTATTAAGTTATGCACTTATAAGATGGTTTCCTTTTTTTGTGTACTCATTTTCTAAAGTGTTTGTGTAATTTATGTGGAAAAAAATTGAATAAAAAGGAAAAAAAATTCAGTCCAGGTTAGTGGAAAGGGCAAAACAAAATGAAACCCTGACAAGCTGCTCTCTCGCTCTCTCTGATTTTTGTGCTAATTCTTCTAGTAAGAATTGAGCTCAGAGATTATACAGCAACTGCCTGTGCAAGCACTGCTTGGAACAAACAGAAAGAGGACTGCTTCATGTTCACCAGCATGCAGGGATTATGCATTAATTTTAAGCTCTGATTTTGCAGCCTCACTGTATAGAATCATAGAATTGTAGAATTGGAAGGGACCCCCAAGTTCATGTAGTCCAAGCCCCCACAATGCAGGAATGTGCAGTTGTGTACCTCTTGACAACCTTAAGTTTGTGCTTAATTTCAAGCAATGTTGAGTATGAATGAATGAATGAAAAGAAACATGTAGACTTTCAAATGGGATATAATGAAAGTAAAGCAGATAGGGCGATATGTGAAACTCCAAGGTGGTTGTTTTTTCAAAAACCAGATGACTCTTTGAAATGAGAGTCAATCAGGTTTGCAATGCAAATGTAATAATACACAATACTGATCAGAACGCTCTTCCCATTACAAATGTTTTGCCTTCACTTTCTGAACACACGAAATGAGAAGACACCAAGTTAAACAACTTGAGCAGCTCAAGAGGCAACTCAAGTCTCACATGTGAGGACAAAGGGTTGCATCCAGTGGAGGCTTTTTGTCTTGAGGAAACTTTGGTCTTCTAGCTGCTGCAGAACTACAACTCCCATCAGCCCTACCAAACATGGTTAGTGGGCAGTGATGCAACTGTAGTTCAGCAACATCTGGGGGGCCAAAGGTTCCCCAAGCCTGCCTTAGCAGCAGTGGTGGACTTTGGGCTCTCACATTTCAGTGGTATCTTGTGTGACACTAAAATTTGGCACCCCCCCATCTCTCATCTTCTGCTCTACAGCAGGGGTGGTGAACTGCGGTCTACTCACAGAGTTAAAAACTGGCAGTGGGCTACCCCCTTTTTTAGGGTTCAAAGTTGTTGAGCTTTTTTAGGAACGAGGAAAGCCGTTTGAGCCACTGATCTACCACAGATGTCCAGTGATCTACCAGCTACCAGTTCACAATCTACCTGTTGGACGTGCCTGCTCTACACCATTGTTGTGGCACCTGTAGGGTGGTACCCAGTGCAGCTGAACTGATCACACTACCCTAAAACCACTTCTGTTAGCAGAAGAAGCATTTCTGGTCACACATTTGGGGCCCTAGATTTTCTTGACCTTCTCACTGTGCTATTGCCTGTTCTGTTCCAGTCTGCCGAACCTGCAGAGCAACTATTGGGAGGGAGACAATGTGAGGTTTCAGTGAGAAGGAGAATTAGCAAAAATTGTGTATCCTGGCCGGTGACGGAGCTTCATGCTCCGGCACCAGGGGGCGGAGAGCAGGCGGGGGCATGGCTGGCGCACCCCGGGGGCATGGCATGCATCCCAGAGGCATGGCACATGCCCTAGGGGTGTGGCGCATGCCCTTGGGGCATGGCACGCTGCCTGTGGAGGCATGGCACCCAGCGTGGGTGGGGGAAGCTGCGATGGCACCCCACCGGGATCGCGCTGCCAGGGGTGGTGCGCTCCCCCCCTTCCTCCGCCAATGATCCTGGTCTGCCTAAGCAAAGGCAACACTGGATACAATCCATTGTCATTGTATACATTACCCACTGAAGTTGCATGGTTTGGCCAGTACTTGCTAGCATGGGAGAAAACGTTTGCTTACTTACATGCACATCATAGCTGCATTGAAAATTGAGGCACCATATTTATATAATCATTTCCAGCAGGCCAACAAATGGACCAGCAAAGGTAGGATCATTAGTATTTAAGAATCAGGGCAAAGTCTGGTTGTATGGAAGGTGGATAGCAACACAGAGGCACCCATCACTAACTGACAACTGAGGCATTGTATCAACTCCAGATGGACCAGGATCTTAAAAAAACCAGTAAGATCCATGTAGAATTCTCATGACATTCCCAAATACATTTTGGATTTTTAAAAATGCTTTCATGCTTTTTTCTTGATGACAAATCACTAGAACTAGGAAAAGGAAGTGTGCACTTTAAAATAGGCAACTGTAGTTTTCATAACTATATAATTTAAAAACAAACAAACAGGCTGGGCCGCAGGAATTTCTTTAGGTATCTGAAGAATCTACCTTGTGTATCACCAGATATTGAAGGACTTCAGGTTGGGAAGACATTCAAATGGAGTCAGTTTAAAACTTAATCATCACCAACTCAGCAAGATTTGAAGAGCCTCCAGGCTATTGGTCAATATGCCTGAAAACATACTGAAAGGGAAATGGATGGGGATATTTTGCCTGGTTTTGAACAACTGCACAGTTCAGCAACACACAATTCAACCAAAATTAAGAATATCATGTTCAAAGAGGTGTTGTTGATCGTTCCTCCCCTCCTGCCCACCCCACATCAATTCTGTATTTACACTGAGATGTAATTTTGATCTGATGCCGGATGATGAAAGGCTGGATTTGTATTTCAGTGTGTTGTCATTTTAGTATTTGCTCTTTTGTGACCATATTGTGGAACGTTTGAATTTTGAGTTATGGCAAAATGAAATTCTTGAGAGACCATCACGGATTTCACGAGGCTTTGAATTGGTTACTTGCTTTCTTCTGTGAGAAAAGAACTGTGTATCTTTCAGCTTTGCACAGCAGAAGTCTGGTGGGTATAGACTTTCATGGCCCAGTGTGTTGGTTTTGTTCATAAGCTTCCTATTTGCAATCCCCTTCTTGATTTTTATTCCTTTTGCTGGCTTCATTTATTTGTGTTTATGCACAGGACTGATGCTGATGCTGCTTTTTAAAGACTCATGGCTAATACAAAAAACATCATTACCAGTGAGCTCTACCATTCAATTAAACCACTGGGTCATATCACTGGGCTGTAGCTCAATGGTCAACCACATCTTTACATACAGAAGTTCCTAGGTTTGGTTCCTGGATCTCCATGTTCAGCTTGGAAAAGCTTCTGTCTGAAATTCTGGAGAGCTGGGCTGTGTAGACAGTACTGAGCCAGATGTACCAGTGACCTGAGACTTTGTATAAGTGTGGTGTATCAGTTAGAGCATCAGACTAGAACCTGGGAGACCATGATTCAAGTCCCCACTCAGCCATGAAACTCACTGGGTGACCCTGGGCCACTCACTTTTTCTTAGCCTAACCTACCTCACAGGGTTGTTGTGAGGATAAAACAGATAGTGAGAGAACCATGTATGCCACCTGGAGTTCCTCAAAGGTGTGCTATAAATGTACTGCAACTACTATTAATAATAATGGCAGCTCCTTAAGACATGAACACATAAAGCCTCCTAAGCTGCAGAGAGTCATTGAAGGCCTGGAGCTAGCAGTGCTAAAATACTGGTTGGATTTGTTTTGTACTTTTATAGAGCCTTGGAAAATCAGTATGACCGTGTGTGAAGAATATTGCTGATTTTGTTGAAAAATACTCTTATGGGAAATTTGAAATTCTACTGTGAAATGTGTGTGGACTGGAGAAGTATCTGGAATGGAGAAGAACAGAGATCTATCGGAATTTGACTCAACATTTTTTGTGTCTTAAAGCACAGGAGTGTAAGAGGACTCTTCATTTCCAATAGTTGAATATACATCAAAGGTGGTTTAGGTGTTTAAACTCAGCCTGTTTTGGTTATCTGTAGACATGATGCTGGATAATGGCTGAGCTGTAGCTGGTTGGTTTATTTCTAAGATTTCTTAACTGCCCTTCACCATAAATTCTCAGTGTGGGTTACAAGATAACATACAATCATCAAAACTATAAAACCTACATTGGCTCCCAGTATGTTTCTGAGCACAATTTAAAGTGTTGGTGCTGACCTTTAAAGCCCTAAACGGCCTTGGCACAGGATACCTGAAGGAGTGTCTCCACCCCCATCATTCTACCCTGGACACTGAGGTCCAGCGCCGAGGGCCTTCTGGCGGTTCCCTCACTGCAAGAAGCCAAGTTACAGGGAACCAGGCAGAGGGCCTTTTTGGTAGTGGCGCCCGTCCTGTGGAACGCCCTCCCACCAGATGTCAAAGAGAACAACAACTACCAGACTTTTAGAAGACATCTGAAGGCAGCCCTGTTTAGGGAAGCTTTTGATGTTTGATGTATTACGGTATTTTAATATTTTGTTGGAAGCCGCCCAGAGTGGCTGGGGAAGCCCAGCCAGATGGGCAGGGTTGTTGTTGTTGTTATTATCATCATCATCATCATCATTAATAATAATAATTAACCATAACATCAACCTGTTCCAAATGGAACAGTATGAATGCAGAGGGCAGAGATCCCATGAAACAAAATACCTTAACTGCCAAAGCCAGGTAAAGAGGTATGTATTCAGCATACGGTGAAAGCTGTGCAATGGAGATGCTAGGTACACCTCTATGGGGAGGGAGTTATATAACTTAGGGGCTGTAGCCACAGAGAAAGCCATCTCCCAGGCTGCCATTCCTCACACCTCTGAGGGTGGCAGAACTACCAAGAGCTTCCTCTGCAGATCACAATGCCTGAGAACATCAGTAGGGATGGAGATGGTCTTTCAGATATCCAAGGCCCAAGTTGTTTAGGCATTGGAACAAGATTAGCACAGTCCAGGCGCACCAACGCTAGCAGGCAGAGGTGTCATCAGCCCCCTTAATATTCCTTAGTTCAGCTCGCCCCCCCCCCAATATTGAGGGGGGCAGAGGAAACCGAACTGCCAAGGTGACTGTGGCACAGCATCAAAGACAGACTCCTCCTGAGCTCAAGAGAGGAGAAGCCATGACCACTGAAGCTACATGGCACTGGGCAAGGCCTCTTCCCAATGATGTGGTGGCACTGACCCATTTTTCTACAAATGTCAGCTTCCTGTTTTGATCGGTTTTCCTTCTTCTCCTTAATTCTTGGCCAGAGTGCTCCCACTTAATTTTTTTTTTGGGGGGGGTAACAATTATCCTCTCCGGTTCTGAGGATGTGACTGAGTGTGAGTCTCATCACGCCTTTTTGAGAAATGATCAGGAACGCTCAGGAAGCGACAGCGGAGCGCCTTTCCCCCTTGCCGCCTTCAGAGGGCTTCAGCTTCTGCGCTGGTGACAGCGAAGGCTTGAGACAACTTGCTCTAACTGGCCTTCCCAAGAATGTGTCAATCCCTTGTCACTTGAGCACGGCCTGCCGTTCCCTGCCTGTCTCTCAGAGGTTGCTCTCCAGATGAAAAATAATAAGATGAAATACTTCTAGGATGGGGGTGAGTAGGAAGGAGGGAGGGCATGAGTAGGAACCGAGATGTCAAAAGACAGCTTGCTGAGACCCTGTCAAAGAGAGGCATTCATCAAAATATGGAGAAGCCTTGCAATATCCTCAGGATAAACAATTTTGATAACTTAAGAAAAGCGTTTCTTTTTATGAATATCTAACTTACTGGGGTTTTTTAAAATAAAAAATACCTTTTCATTTACCTTCCTTTTTCACATTCTCAAAGGACAGGACTTTGATGAAAGCTTTCAGGAAGCAGATCACGCCTGTCACTTAAAGTGACTGTGCTTAAGAGTCCAATAGAGCTTGGTGGTGAGGAGTCAAACCCTTCAAAGCACGGTGCTCAATTTTGATCCTGCAAATAACTTAAGCACACACATGCCTCCATTAAACTCACCAAGGCTTAGCATTGATTGGTTATTTATATGCTGGAACTTTTGCATAGGGCTTTCCACCTTTCTCAAATCTGATCTGGCTCCAATGCCCTTGACGGCAGTCTAGAATTCTGTAGTGTAGCTGATAAAGGTTTCCCTGAATTGCAGGGGTGATATGATTCTATGATTCTACTTTTCTCAATGCTAGGAAAAGCTGCCTTCGCCTGCTACATGTCTGCATTCCAGGCTGCTGTTAAAACCAAGAGTAAGTGTGAAAAAATGTGTTTCTCACAAACAAACAAACAAACCCAGTTTTGCAAGAGGTGATTATCCTTCCCTCAAAAAGTTAATGACTAATTACAGTGAAACTCGGAAAATTAGAATATCATGGAAAAGTTCATCTATTTCAGTAATTCAACTTAAAAGGTGAAACTAATA